TCGAGATCTTCTCTTATCGATGAGCGCACTAGTGTTGTCGCCATCTTGCTAGGAGTCTTGCCTATATCTACTTGTGTCTCATCCAGATATCTTTTATCTTGTTCACATTGTGGGTTAGTTCATCTTTGCTCCCACTTTAGTTCACTGTAGTCACCTACTTTAAGTACTATGATATCTCCATGGGACCTCTTCACACCGTCTTCTCTTTCTAGGTTCCATTTCATTACAGCTCCAGGCCTATTCGAATGGCAATCGGCTAGCGAGCCCTAAGATTGCCACATGTTTTCCGCTTACCTCTTCGTGTAGGTTCTCTCACTGCCTAGAAAACGAAGATACATATTGTAGTTTCCCATTCATGTGCAGAGCCTGAGTTGTAGGCTATGACTCTTTTGCAACAAGGATAACTTTTCTATTGTGGATCCTTGAGGATTTGGGTGATTCTATGACTACATCAAATCCTTTTTCATCCAACAATATACGTGTTATCAATATTGTGTGTGATCATATGAAGCATCAACTCACCAAAGATATTGGTGTCGATTCTTCTTTCATGTGGTCCCATGTGCATGATTAGGTGATTGCTCCACAATATGTGCCTTCCGGCTACAATTAATAGATTACTTCATGAAAGCTCAAACTAGAGCACATCACAACTTTTATCTCTTAAAATTCAGTGTGTTGATCCACCACGAGTCTGCTGAGTGCTAGAGTTGTACATAATATCTGTGTAATATTTCCACGGTATAAAGCAGTTTCCGCATATTTTATCGTGCCTATATGTGTATATAAACTGGCCTATGGCCTCACAGGAATACATGTCACTATTTTCACAACACCTATAACCTCTGAAGATAAAATAGAGTATTAAAACACATTCCTAACCATTCTTCAGGCATATAGAGTGACCAAATGTAAAAAGGGTGCCTCATAGTTAGGCGTTTCATCTTCCCCGGGAGTTCAAATAGGTATGTCCATGTGAACTTCCATGGAGTTTCTTGATGTGAACCCTAAAAGGTTATGGAGATTATGTGTCCAATTATCAAGAGTACTAGGAGAGAAAAGAGTACCACAAGTAAAGCACTTGCTTTGATGTGAGTTTATAGGTATAACTTTTTTGTAAATCAATTAGTACCATGTGAGTCAAGACAAAATTTTGTGTACATGTTAAAACATGCATAGGCCCACAAGTTTTAATGTCCTGCTTTTCTCAGGACTCTCCCAATACATGTTTCTTAGCATGATTTCTTAGGTATTTTGCTAATGTGGCATATGTTATACAAAAGCTAGGTTATGGGCTCATGGTGTCAAATGATTATCGATATTTACATGCTATTTGTAGCTCCCTCACTCCTCGCTGAATCTAATACGAAAGCTAGTATTAGAAACAACCAAGGTAGTGTACAATTGTATCCTTACACCAGGTATCATTGTGATCTGGATCGCCATGCACCTTACACTATGATATCTATGTCGCATTGAGATTTCTCACCGAACCACTCTACCATCAAACTTTCCCTTGCCTTGGCCTCACGAGTTTGATTCCATAAAGTGAGTTAGATCTTATACCATGGCAATGGGGGATCAAAAGCAAGTAAACTTGAGGTAAACAAAACTGAACAAGATGGAAAAAGCGAGTAGGGTCCTTAAGAGTCTAATAATTGGTGTATGAATGGTGAGGAGGTTAGTGAGAGAAGTATGATCAAGAAGATCATGTATATACTTCTCTTAGGATAAGAAGGGGCCAAGAAAATAGAACATAAAAACAACATTGACCCCAAGAGTTGCTCACTAAGACTACGACCATTTACAAAGGCAATGTATTATGAACATAAATATGAGAAAAAGAGTTCAACCACAAGATTGAGCCCAGGTAAAAGGCAAAGGATTAGGCCTTCTTTACAATATAAGCCTTCCAAACCTTAGTTGACATACTTCTTCATGAAGGCACCGACTTGAGCTCTCCAAACCTACTGTTATTGATCCACCATGAGTATGGGGTGGGGAGGGGAGGTGTTAGACATATATTAGTGCAATATATGTATCAATATACAAAAATCAATGTTATATATTGGCTAAAGCCCCACACAGTTCATGAGTTTCTATCCCCCATAATACTTATCTCTAAAAATGATCAAGCTATGACGGACAATGCTTTCTGACTCAAGGAAAATGGTCAAGGCATGGATGGGTTCAGACTCACTTGAACCAGGAGATGACAAGGCATTAGTTTGCTGGATTTTTCATCAGCAAACACATGGCACAAATTCTTTGTTGTGTATATGCGGATGACATGTTGCAATGGTTATGCTTGTGCTTTGTAAAGGGTCTAGTTCTTGCAAATGTATTTCCCTTTTTGTATGCATTATCTTTTATGTCGCATATGTTGCGAAGTTTCCAATGGTGTTTTTTGTATGTAACTCTTACATTGAATGCATTGTTTGAAATGTTGTGATATTAATGAACTTTCTTTAGATTGTGGAGAGAAATTTTGCAACAATATTGCATGTGCACAACAAAATTGTTGCATGAGGAAATATTTTATTGTAGAAATCAATTACTATAAGGTAATTACTTGATTCAAACTAGACAGAGTGGGAGGTGGCTGATTATTATTTCCATTAGCCTAACCGACACCTAGCTTTTCACTTACTATATTATCTACACAAGCTCTACTGGTCAGCTATAGCTCATGTTGTATCCAAGTTTGAAAAATAATTTATGGTGCAACATGCAAACATATATTGCCAAGCTCAAGACATACATTGCATATGTGATAACAAAGTACAAATCTCAAGATGAACTCTAAAAAGCAAATTCTCCATTAAATGCACATGAAATCATAGGGATATTCACTTCACTAGATAATCCTTTATGATCTAGCATTATTTGTCGGCTTGCAGATCTTACTCCGACTATAATAACTGCCAATATATCATTATATATACACCCAAATTTCTCCATAGTTTAACACTCTTAATCCCTCTACCTCTCCCTCTCCCCCTCTCTCTCTCTCTCTCTCTCTCTCTGTGTGTGTGTGTGTGTGTGTGTGATATGCTTAATGTATGAAAACATATTAGTAGGTGTAGATATAGCCCAACCTAAGGCGCGCTCATAGTACATAGTATAGTATCATGCATTGTTTTGCATGGCACTGATACTAGCATCTTCTCTTCCTCAATTAATACTATGTCATGTCACCAATATGCTTAGTTGGCATTACATGTGTCTGCATGATATTATCTATGATACTCCCATTGTGAGGTAGTTAGGCGCCTCCATCACAATTAATCTACGCGAGAGAGCCTAGATGATGAATATAAGAAACTTAATATCATATCTCTCAGAAGAAGATTTTTTTAACTAATTATCACACATATTAGTGTTGACTTGGTTATAAATTGCGGTTTCGTCAATATGATAACTTAGATAGTTTGCGGGCATTTATATCAAATTAATTTCGCAATGCAACGTCATACATATTTGCCCCTTGATGGAGTACACAAGTAGAGAGAAATGCAAATGAGTGAGAATTGGTTCAATCACTATCAGTTTACCATTAGAGTTTGTTTTTGTAAACCACAATCTTGGTTGAAATAACTACAAATAAATAGTGTCCCATATTAATTTAGTATAGTCTGTTGGAGTTACATGATACACCACTTAACTCATAATACCAAAATGTTATAATTGAATCACTCAACTCTAATGTCTCTATCCTCACAAGGACACATACAGTCATACACATGTTATATTTGTACTCGTTTATACTTGAGGACTACATCTTGTCACAAGCTTAGCATTATATTAATAGATATGTCCTTTTATAGAACTTTATAAACCGGCCTTCTTAAGTTACTGACATAGTGAAATTATCTAGCCCGGCACATGTACTATAACAACTAAGTTAATTTTAGATTTGCTTTGCTTGCTATTACCAAGTGCACACAACTAGTCTAGCATGGATTCTTCATGAACTAGAAACGTAATGCACCTATCAAAGCTCTTACTAGCGACATATAGGTGCATAGATATTTTGTTTTGGATGCCATGCAAGATACAAAGCTTATGCATGCATTATCTCCTCCCTGTTGACATGCATGATGCATGCACTTATGTTGCCTGTGGTTAAGCATTATGGATATGACGATGACAAGATTATTGCTAATAGAGTCTTCATATTGTTGTGATAATAATATTTAAGCAACAAGGATTTAGGCACCTAGCCACTATTATATTGCACATTGATCATATACGTGTTCCAACTATAGGTTTCATAATTATAATCTCGGTTTTCTTACATCCTACCTCTACTTAGAAACAAGAACTATTTTGATGGCAAAACATAGTTTTGTAAATTGGTACACATTTTCTGCTTAGAAATTAACCAGGGATTTCAAATAATTTGGTTAGCAGTCAACAAGAAATAAGCTAACTTTAACAGGTTTTGAATGCCTTTCAGAAGCAACAAAACGAAAGGACCGACGCCTGATCCTGGCACCATATATACTACTTCCGGCTACAGTCGGTTATCTCTAGTACAAGAAGAAAAAGAAGCAGACCGCTGCCATAAACTCTTAAAGACTGCGATCCTAGGTACTAAACCCACCAGCACCTCTTACGTAATTCTAGTTCCATTCATATCAGCTGTACTTCACGGAAGCATAAAATACTGTAGTGTGCACTGTGCTACTGTAGTGTAGTACTAGTTACAGTTGGAACGCGGGCAGAAAAATAAAGTAGAGATGACCCGAATCTCAGACAGTTAAGTAAATAAATTCGCCGTAGTGTAGTGTACTGTGCAGTAGAGCAGTACTGTGCATCGTGATCTCGCCTACTACGTGCGCAAGAAAAATATAGCTAACGAGCGGGGCATGAGATGCGCCGTGGAGTCGCGTATTCACACGGGAAAAATACCATTCGAAACATTGGCCTAATTGGATTGTAATCGAGAGAGCAAATAGCCGGAAGAAAAGACAGGGATCGGAGGAACAGGCACATACGTCGCGGGCGCGGCGAAGCGTTGGAAGGTGCCGTCGAAGGGGCTGATGACGAGGAGGCCGACGTCGGCGTCGCAGAGCATGGCGAGCTCCTCCGCCTTCTTAACCAGCCCCGCCCGCCGCTTCCTAAAGCAGATCCCCCGCCGCCTCCGATCCTCGATCCGCCGCAGCACCACGCGCCCCCGCTGCCGCGCCATCCTCCTTCTCCCCGACAGAACGAAACGGAGCTGCGCGGCTTATGTAGCCGCAGGCAGCAGCGCTTCATGGCTCCTCCACCCCTGCTCCCCTCGCCGTCGCTTTGCCGGATTCGCTCCCCACCGGCCGGGCTAGGGAATCTAGGCTGGGATCGATCGGGCCGAAATTTGGTTGCTCTCTGCCTCTGTCTGTTGGGTTAGTCGAACGCGCTTAAATCAAGGATCCAAATTTGGCTCCGGATTGGGTCGGCGGCGAGATCTGGGCCCACGGGATATAGGGCACGCGACGCGAATGCCAACGTCAGGTACAATCGCGTTGTCGGACCACGAGTGGTTTCCAGGCCGAGCCCCTCGACCCCACCGCGCAGACAGAGATCAAGGCGCTCGCACGCACGCTGCGTAGAGTGTGTTGCGACTGACACGAGTGCTGTAACATTGGACTTGTACGGTCGGTCAGCCCAGCTAAGGAAGAGACCCCCGATGCACTGCATTTGGCTTATCCGTGGTGTGCACGCGCGAGGCAGCGAGAACGTTCCGGAGCAGTGCAGTTTCCCTTTTATTAAAATTATTTTTAACACATTACATATCGCACAGACGGGATGATACCAGCCCTCACATGCTCCCCTTGATACCAATTTAAATTTTTCAAATTTAAACGTTTTAAAAAATTCTGAAAAAAATCATGGATGTTCACATTACAACAACCCCTAAAAATTCAGATCTAAATTTGAAATACACATGGAGAAACAAAAATGACAAATTCACACATGGATAGTGTCATTTTTACTTTTGTCTTCTTTTGACACTATTCATGAAAGATTTGTCTTTTTTGTTTCTCGGTGTATATTTCAAATTTGGATCGGATTTTTTAGGGGATGTCTACATATATGTCATCACATAATATTTACCCATACACACACGATCATATATATGCATATACACTCGCCCACACGCACACTCTATCCTTATGAGCACCTTCGAAAGATTGAGCCGCCACATCGTATTAAGACTCATGAAGTCATCACAGACGCTTTCATAGTCAAGGGGACATCTCCTCTCACTAAACGAACATCGCTGGAAGGCCTGAAATAAATCCAGAAAAATGCGCCCATCGGTGTTAAGTCAAGTCAGAGGATGAAAATACCACTATTCTTCTAACCATCCAAATTCAGGTTGGTTCGTCTTAAAAAATATATTAGAAACACACTATACATGGACACACTCCTCTCCATAAATACATGCACGATATATGTTACCTATGAGCACTTAGTCGGCTGATATAGAGATTAACGAAGTTGACCCGAATCCTATATATACATAAGAGTGTGATTTCGTAATGTATGTATCTTAATATGCAACTATGCCACTTCATCAATTATGGATGGAATAAAGCCCACTTCAACATGAGAAAAATGCATGAGAAAAGACCCACCACCACATGCCATGCATAGGAAAATATATTTTATTTTATTATTCTACTTATAATCAATAAACATTTTAGAACTATACATAATCAAATATAATAAGTTGTATGTATTTTAATTTTAATTTAGTGTTATTAATCTAAATATTTATATTTCACACAATCAAATCTCATTAAAATATATTGCAACGAATTCCTGCAGCAACGCGCGGGGTATCACCTAATATCTCATAGTTGCTGAATATGTCATACCACTAAAAAGAATAGCACCGAAAAGTCAAGAATAAATTTAAAAAATGTGTTCACCTATATCAAGTGCTAGTTGCAACAAGTCATGAGTGTACCTTGTGGTTGAAAGTATTTTTGAACTTTGGGAATAATTAATTAAGAAAATAAAAGTGCAGGTAGAAGAAAATTTTGAGGTTGTTCTTATGAGGAAAATATAACCGGGCTTCATAGGTTCACTGGTAGCATCTCTCCAAGTGTTAACGGTGCAGAACACGACTACTTGTGAGCTGCGTTGGGATTTTTCCCGAAGAGGAGAGGAGATGTAGCACAATAGAGATAAGTATTTCCCTTAATGAGAACCAATGTATCAATCCAATAGGAGAATCACACAAAGCCTCATGAACAACACCTATACACACATAAGCATATACTTGCACCCAACGCGGGTAAGAGGGTTGTCAATCCCCTTGAACTCCTTACTTGCAAGGATTAATTCTGATAGTAGTAGATAAAAAAGTAAATTGCAAAACAAAATAAAAGTAAATAAAATTGCAGCAAGGTATTTTGGATTTTATATATGATAAAAGTAGACCCCGGGGGGGCATAGTTTCACTAGAGGTTTCTCTTTCGAGTACATAGCATGCGGTGGGCGAACAAATTACGGTTGGGCAATTTCTACAAAAGCACATAGTTATGATGATATTCAAGGTAATGATCATGTATATAGGCATCACGTCCATCACAAGTAGACCGACTCCTGCATGCATCTACTACTATTGGTCCATCAATCGACCACTATCCAGCATGCATCTATGGTATTAAGTTCATGAAAAATAGAGTAACACCTTAAGCACAATGACATGATGTAGACGAAGTAAACCTAATCAATATGAATAAACCCTGTCATTTTATCCTTAAAGGCAACAATACAAATATGTGTCTTGTCCCCTTATGTCACTGGGATATAGAGCACCGCAAGATTGAACCCATTACAAAACACCTCTCCCACTGAAGATAAATCAATCTAGTTGGCCAAACCAAATGGATAGATTGGAGCGAAATACAAAACTATAAAATCATGCATAATAAAGTTCAGAAAAGACTCCATTACTTATAATAAATATTTAGATCATAAACCCACAATTCATTGGATCCCAACAAACACACCGCAAAAGAAGATTACATGGGATAGAACTTTGTGAACATCGAGGAGAACACTGTATTGAAGATCAAAGAGAGAGAAGAAGCCATCTAACTACTAGCTATGGACCCGTAGGTCTGTGGTGAACTACTCACGCTTCATTGGAAGGCGGCAAGGATGATGTAGAAGCCCTCCGTGATTGATTCCTCCTCCGGCAGAGTACCGGAAAAGGCATCCAGATGGGATCACGGAAGAACAGAAACTTGCGGCGGCAGAAAAAGTGTTTTGGGTGGCTCTCTGTCAATTTTCCAATATTAGAGAATTTATATATGTGTAATTATCTCAGACGAAGCGACAAGGGGTCCACAAGGCAACATGGCGCGCCATATTGCCTTGCCGTCTCCTCGCTTGTAGTCTGTTCTCCTCTTGAAGCATCTAGGGTCTGTTTTGTCCAGAAAAATATCGTCAAAAAGTTTTGTCGCGTTTGGACTCTGTTTTGTACTGATTTTCTAGAAAACCAAAAACAAGCAGAAAACAACAACTGACACTAGACAATGGGTTAATAGGTTAGTCCAAAAAATGATATAAAATAGCACAAACAATCATATAAAATATCCAAGATTGATACTATAATAGCATGGAACAATTAAAAATTGTAGATACGTTGGAGACATATCAAACACTACTGCAGGATACTCCAAATGCGACACATGGATCGAAGACCAATCGACAAAACTGTGTGTGATGCGTGAATCACAAAAGGTATGGTAATAAAACCGTCATCAATGAGACGAACTCTGTGCGATGGCGGAGCCATCAAATACGATCCAGAAAAGAGTTGTGTGTGTGTGTGTGTGATATGTGGCATACATTTGATACATAGGAACTATTTGCAATGATAAAAAACAATAGAAACGATAAGGTAGATCAAGGTGTGTGCGATAGAAGGATACAGGTCACTCGAATGAACTGTTTGCGATGATCCAGAAGAACAGAAATGATTCGGCTTAACAAGACGTGTGTGATACCCGACAAACAGGTGAGTAACAAGAATTGTGTGGGAAGACCGATAATAACACAAACAATTCTTCCTAATAAGCTGTGTGTGTTGTGGACAAAAGGTTGCTAGTAAAAAATTGTCAGCGATTGAAGAAATCATCACCAACGGGTTCCATAGTTTAATCCGTATGCGATGTGATTTGCATAGTCTAGTCTGCACAACATCTATGCTCTGCCTACAGAAAAACAACATTTATACTTATAACAACAAGATAGCATAACCAAATTAAACACCCAATTACATAAGTGACTACACACATAACAACATTCTTATTTCATGGTTTAGGTTTGGATGCTCTTATCGAAATCCATTGGTTATTTTTCCGTGTGTGCTCTCATTGTAGCGGACTATGAGAGCATGAACGGGAAAATATGATCACATAGAAATATATTACATTATGTACGAGTTAATCTAAAATGTCTTTAAGCCAATAGGTGGTCAACAAGAAAGTACATTTCGTACCAACGAATAACTTTGCCTTTTGGATCATCTCAATCCCATGTCATGCGGACACCGTCCGCATGCATCTGTAGTCGGGTAGTACTCCACATGTATAACAACATGACATTTCAAAGAACAAAGAACACAATGCCATTTCAAACATTGTATCACAAATACCAGAAATATTGCAAGGTTCAAATTTCAGCATTACAAGGCCCAAATTCAAATATTACAAGGTTCAAACTATTATTACAAATCAGATTCATCTTCTTTAGAATATGAGTCATGCATTATTTCTGCGAAAGGATTAGCCACAAGTCATATATCAGCTTGATACAGTAACTTCTGAATAATCTGTCAATTGAAGTTACAAACTGAAATTCAGTTTCTGGAGAACCTTTTCCATTCAGCTGTAGATGCATGCGCTGATTAGCAAACCATTCACCTATGCACACTAAATATAGGGCAAAGCTCATTACCTTGAGCACACTTGCTTTCTGAATAAAGAACCTGGCGAATTTAATCTTTGGTGTGGTGCCTCGGTACTCGTTCAAAGTAATTTCTATGAGATGAAGATCAAGGCATTCAATGGGATTTTTATATTGCGCCAAAATTTCCACTTTTGGGCCTCTTTGTATCTGCAAACGAAGACGACATATTAGTGCCTAGCTATAGTTTTGAACACTTCGTGCCTCTTTGATTTGCATGAT